CTTGGCAACTGAACAACAACGATGGAGGAACCAAGCTAATTGCTTGCTTAGCTCCTTTGCTCTCCCCTGAGCCATTGTCATGGGGTCAGCCCACCCAGGATGGGGGGGTTAGGTTGCCCCCAGAAATATGTTTTCCATTAAAGGAGATGGCTTTTCTATCAGCTCGTTTCCGAAAGGGTCAGGCACACACGGGAGAATCACTGCCTGGGCTTGAATCGTGGCAAACCTTGGGCAGGAGACTTTTCTGTGTCTCAATTTCCTCATGTGCAAAATGGGACTAAAAATAATAATGTGTTGTATCCAATTTATTCACATAAAGCACTCAGAACAGCATCTAGGACACAGATGCTGTAGAGGTGTGAGCAGCTATTACGCCAGCCAGCTCTGGCATCTCCCTCTCTGAGAGGGGACAGAAGGGAGGAAAGAAGGGTTCTGGCTTCCAAAAATGTACACTGTCCTGGCTTCCCACACCCCACCCAAGTCCACCTGAGTTCCCTCACGACCTTAGACACAGGGGCTCAGACAGAGGTGCACGTGAACAGAGATTTAGAGTCCCAGCCCAGTCTCTTGTCTTTGCTTGCCTGGACACTGGGAAAGCACCCCCTCCCATATCTGGGGGCGGTCCTCACTCAGAAGGGGGCTGGAGTGTAGGGGAATTCCAACCATGGCTTCCACATTGCAGGTCATGACTCATTATGGGGTGAGGTATGTGTGTGTGTTTTTAATGAAACAAATATGGTGGGATTAAAATAAATGCAAGGATTTAGTAGTGGCTCATTAAAGTGTGCGTTCGCATGCACACACGCACTATCTAAGAGGGGTTTCTCACTGTGGGTTAGAAGCCAGTTTTCAAAGCGCTGAGTTAGAGAAGTAGAATGTTTTAAGGAGCTTGAGCACTGAACATGCCCTCAGCATAGCCAGAGGGAGACCCCAGTAGGGGGTTCTGCTCAAGGATTCTGCTGAATGAATGAATGAACAGAAAGAAAGGGGACTTCCTATTGGCCCCCTGCTTCAGGGCCCTCTGGGAACCACAGGAGAGGCTGTAGCAGGAAATACAGGACACAAACACAAGTAGTGAAGGAGCCATAATCCAAGAGAAGCCAACTCCGTCTGGTAGAGATACTTTCTATCCACAGCCACAGAAATACCTTAGCAGAGGCCACAAGGTTTTGTTTTTGCTTTTAAAAAACCTGTTTATATGTTTAAAAGAAATAGATGCAAGCCATTCAGCTCTCTGAAAAATGCAGAACCAAGTTAAATGGAATGCTGATGGCATGTATTGAAGCGGTCACAGACTGCCAGCACTTTCTCGCTGCCCTGGGAGAACATGGCACCAGGCTGGAGTTAGCCGTGTTAGCGTTAGTTTCTCAGTCATGTCCCAATCTTTGCAACCCCATGGACTGTAGCCCTCCAGGCTCCTCTGTCCATGGAATTCTCCAGGCAAGAATACTGGAGTGGGTTGCTATTCCCTTCTCCAGGGGATCTTCCCGAACTATGAACCCAAGTCTCCTACATTGCAGGCAGATTCTTTACCATCTGAGCCACCAGGGAAGCTGTCCTCCATGGCCATTTAGCTGCATCTCAAAATTTAAGTATGAATGCCCTTTGACCTAGCATCAGCACCTTCATGGTTTTATCTCATATCAACTGGTACCTTAAAAATCTACATAACTGCACAGATGCACGTACAGGAATCTATGTTGCAGCACTGTTTGCAACAGTGAGAAGCTGGAAACAAACAGCCATTGGTGGAGGAGCTCCACGGGTGATGATGGTACATCCACAAAACGAAGATGATATGATGGGGCAGTTCAGAGTGAGGAAACTGTCAGGTAAGAAAGCATGTATCATGACTAGATGAAAAAAGCAAGTGGTAGAGAGCATGTAAAGCATGTCCTGAGTTTTAAAACATTTGCATGTGAAGAAATGTGCTCCCATGCCTGCAGCAACCATGATGTCTGATGCCTGGATGTGGCGGGACTACAGGAAGAGCATGTACTTAACTCATTTTTGTACTGTTGGAAATTTTACAACTAGCATGGGTTTTGAAATCAGGGGAAAAAATTAAATAATGAACAAGGATCATAAAGCTTTATTTAATAAATATAATCCAAACCTTCAAAATATTTTTATTCCATATGTAGCCAATTAGGAAAAGGAAAAAAAAAGTTATAAGGAAATGTTTGAAGGGATTACGTGGAACTGTGTCAGGAGAAAGGGAGGAGGATGGGAAGATTCAAGCAATAAAGGTTAAGTGGAGACCAGAGGGTGCTCAGGACCTCACAATTCTCAAAGCGCCGCCTTCACGGGCCATGTCTCATGGGGCCCTGGGGCCTTCCAATCCTCCTTGGCCATGATTCGAGATGCTAAACTGATATTTGTGGAATGAATCAGGACTCCAGAAATTTGGAAATCCTCTCAAAACCAGGGAGGCGGTCTACCTTTTCTATAACCATCAGGATTGCCTTATTTCCCCCCTAAAATAAAGTATCTGACTGGACAATTGTAAGCTCTATCAGGGAATAACTTAACTTTTCTGAAGAGACTTTAAGATCCTCAAGGCCATCCGCTTACACTAGGGCTTAATGTCCATCTGCTACTGAAATACTGGGTTCTGTTCTGATGCTTCCAAACCACATTTGAAAAGAGAACTGACTTCATAGTGCATATTTTTCAACTCCTTGGGGAAAGGATGGGAGGGTCAGGTCTGGTCGTGGGGACACCATGTGGTGAGAAATCAATGAATCAGTTCAAAGGAAGGCGTCTGAGGTGCAGGGAGGTGAGCTCCGTCCTGGCACAGAGCAGGTGAGCCTGGATAAACCTGTGTGGTGCTGGGCCCTCAGGAGAGAGGTCTGGACCGCCAGGAATGGGGCCTCATCAAAATAACCCTAAAAGAGGCTGTATCCCAACACAGGTGTGCGTGTTACAAGGAGTAGGTGGCAGTGTGGAGGCCCTCTAGGGACTCCCGCAAAGGCCTGGTGGACACGGGCAGGGGTAGAAGCTCTCTTGGGCTGACTCAGCACAGGCCAATTCTAGGTTCTGAAAAGAGACACTCCTAAGATCATCTGCAGAAACAAGACGGGCCTGAAGCCCTGCAGGGCCTCCCTGAGGGGCCGGAGAAGGGGCAACAACACGGAGTCCAGGCACAAGGCTCGTTTGTCCACTCTTTATTAAAGCTATGTCCTTCCTCCTGCTGACAGCTGCGGGGCAGGGCGGCTGGGGCCCAGGACGGGTGCAGGTCTGTACTCAGGGCTGGGCCAGGCAGGATGGGCATGGACCGGACCCCGGCCTCAGGGGCTGGCCCACCTTGCCCTGGGCCCTTCCTGAGGCACCTTCCCACAGCGGGAGAGACAGGCCAGGGACAGAGGGCACCAGCCAGCACCTCCCTGGGAACCCCTGTCCTCCTCACCACCCACCCCATCCCCCCACCCTCATCGGCCAGGCTAATTCTCACCACCACCATCCGGCCGTCCAGGCTCTCCTCCCACCCACCGACTACGGTGACTACGGTGCCTCCTACCGCCCAGCCGCTAGTAGCCTGGCTGCCGGCTCCCAGGCCCCAAGGCCACATCTACACTAACACAGAAGGAACTAGGTCTAGAAGGGAATACGTTTGCTTCAAAATTTCGGTTTTCTGGCCCCACTCACACTGGCCCAAAAAACATCAAGGTGGGGGAGCAGGTGTCTTGCAAGTGACCTGGTGGCTTCAAACGGCCAGGCCTGGAAGGTGGGTGCTGGCCGCAGGCCTTGCATAGTTGGATACTTGGTCAGTCACTGAGCCATGGGCTCAGGTCGGAACCCCCCAAGGTAGACGGCTCACCGCCCACTCTGTGGAATGCGAATCTAAACAGAAACACTGCTGGCTTCTAGTGTAGAAGGACGACAGAGGCAGAGTGAAAGGAGCCTGGGGTGGGGCGGGGTGGGCAATCATAGCCCTAATGGTGGGATGTAAGAAACGACCTTGCTACCGACCTCTGTCACTTTACACTGGGTTATTGGATCTAAGTGAGCCACGGGCTCAGAAGAGCAGGGCCCTGTATGTCTCTCCGTGTGGGCAGAGGAGCAGAAGGCTGGGGCGTAGGGCTGTGGGGGAATCTCTGAGTGCGCGCCTCCAGCTGCCTGGGGTAAGGGCACCAAAGGATTCCAAAGGGGAGTTAAGACTAAACCCCACGCCGCCAGGCTGGATCTCGGCGCTCAAGTGGGGTGAGCAGAGTGAGGACTCTGGAGAGTAAGGCTTCCAGGTCCCTGAGGACCCTGTGAATACCTGCTACCCCATCCTACTCCATCCTGCACGGGGCCACGATTTGGTTTCTGGCTTTTTTCTCCTCCTTCCAGATTCTTCGGGCCACACAAGCAGTGGAAATAAATATCCGCGGTCACAGAATAAAAGCTTTCCCAGGTGCATCGCTGCTTCCCCCACCCCGGATGAGGGAGGAACACTGTCCTTTGAAAACCCACGAGGTCTCCCCTCACCACGCAGTCCTTAACGCTTCCTGGACATACTCTGAATGGCCAGGAGGTCCCTGAATTCTCCCGCTGAGGGATGGGAAGAAGTCGTCAGCCAAATCCCTCGACCACCCCACCCTCCCTTGACGCAAGGCCTTCCCCTCCCTCGCCGTTAAGTTAAACCCCCGTTACTCACTCACATGCCACCTCTCCCCCGGGCCACCCAAATCGAACCCGGGTAAAATAAATAACATCGCCTGTCGTCCCCACCGCGTGGTCTCACCGCATCGATCCAGGGATGTCGCAGTCTCCCGTCGGGGTGGCCGCCCCTGCCCCATCGGCTCCGCGCGCGGCTCGCCTCGCCCCCCATGCCCCCCTCACGGCCATGCGAGCTCGGCGGCCGGTTCTCTAGGGCCGAGCAGGAGGGAAGCCCGAGGCCGGTGCACCGGGGCTGAGGGTAAGGCACCGCACCAGGGCTGGGGCCCTCGGCACCCCCAGAGGCCAGAGGAGCAAAGGGGCGGCGGCCTAGCGGCCTGCGCCTCCGTCACAGGCCCTCACAGGATGGTCTCCTCGTAGGCGCCCGAAGGCCCCGCGAAGGTGGCCGTCGGCTCGGAGCCGAAGCTCGTTCCGCCCGCGAACTCCAGCAGGGTGCTGCCGTGCTCCCCAGGCCCGGTCCCTGCGCCCGCGCTTGGCGGTCCCTTGGCGGGCGCCTCGGCCTTGGGCGCAGGCGCCACGGGCACCTGGCCCGGCGCGCCTGACGCGCCGCGGTGCGTCTTCATGTGAGTGAGCAGGTGCGAGCTCTGCGAGAAGCGGCGGCCGCAGTTGGCGCAGGCGTAGGGCCGCTCGCCCGTGTGCGTGCGCTGGTGCGTCACGAGCACCGAGCGCTGCGAGAAGCGCTTGCCGCACTCGGGGCACGGGAAGGGTCGCTCGCCCGTGTGGCCGCGCCGGTGCTTGGCCAGGTTGGAGCGCTGCGCGAAGCCGCGGCCGCAGTCGGTGCAGCGGAAGGGCTTCTCGCCCGTGTGCGTGCGCCGGTGCCGCTTGAAGTCCGAGCTGTGGCCGAAGCCCTTGCCGCAGTCGGGGCAGCGGTGCGGCTTCTCCTCGGCGTGCGCCCACTGGTGCCGCGTCAGCGCCGCGCTCTGCCCGAAGCGGCGGCCACACTCGCCGCACGCGTAGGGCCGCTCGCCCGTGTGCGCGCGCCCGTGCGCCGTCAGGTGCGCGCGCCGGCTGAAGCCCGCGCCGCACACGCCGCAGACGAAGGGCTTCTCCCCCGTGTGGCCGCGCACGTGCGCCGCCAGGTGCGAGCCGCGGGCGAAGCGCGCGCCGCACTCCGGGCACGGGAAGGGCCGCTCGCCGGTGTGCGTGCGGCGGTGGCGCGCCAAGTGCGAACCGTACACGAAGCTCTTGCCGCAGTCGGCGCAGCGGTGTGGCCGCTCGCCTGCGTGGTAGCGCTGGTGCTTGGCCAGCGCTGCGCGGCGCCCGAACGTCTTGCCGCAGTCGGAGCAGATCCACGGGCTCTCCTCCTCAGCCAACGCGGCGGGCGCCGGCTCCGCCAGCAGCCCCCCGACTGCAGGCCCGAACGCGCGAAGGCCGCTGGTGCCTCCAGGCCCGGCCCCGCCGCCGAAAGGGTCGCAGGCCAGCCCCGCGCCCTCCACCAGGGAGAGCCGGCCCCCCAGGGGTCCGGGCAGGGGGCGCCCGTCGGCCGGCAGCCGCTCCCCGAAGTCCGGGAGGCCCAGGATCGGAAAGCCATCCGGGTGGAGCCAAGACTTGGGGTGCATGGGGAAGTGGAAGCCGAGCGGGTGCGAGGAAGGGCCTTCGCCCTCCCCCAGGCCGTTGCCTAGCCCCAGAAACCGCCTGTCCGGTTCGGGGTCATCCTTGCTCCGGGAGGTGGGCGCCTCCACCGCCGCCTCTCTCGCCTCAGCCTCTCCCTCAGTCTCTCCGTCCGCCTCATCGACCTCTGGCCCCTCCGGCCCCGCCTCGGCCTCCGCGGGCCCCGTCTCGTTGCAAGGCTCCCGCCGAAGGCCCTCGCCACCGGGCTCCGCGCAGCCGCCGCCCCGTCGATGGCGCTGGAAATCGGCGCGGAGACGGAAGGCCTGGCCGCAGTCGGGGCAGCAGTGGGGCCGGTCGGCCGTGTGCACCGCCTGATGCCGTGCAAGCGCCGAGCTCTGGCTGAAGCTGCGGCCGCAGTGCGGGCAGGGGTAGGGCCGCTCGCCCGTGTGCGTGCGCTGGTGCGTGACCAGGTAGGAGCGGCGCCCAAAGCCCGCGCCGCAGAAGGCGCAGCGGTAGGGCCGCTCGCCCGTGTGAATGCGACGGTGCGTGACCAGGTGCGACTTGTACACGAAGCGCTTGCCGCAGTCGGGGCACGGGAAGGGCTTCTCGCCGGTGTGCGTACGCTGGTGGATGGCCAGGTGCGAGCGGTACACGAAGCCTTTGCCGCACTCGTCGCAGCCGAAGGGCTTGACCGCCGCGTGGTAGCGCTGGTGCTTGGCCAGCCGGGACCGGTGCGGGAACACCTTGCCGCACACGTCGCACGTCGTCTCCGGGCGCCCGGCTGGCGCAGCCACCGCGGCCGGGAACGCCCAGGGCGCCAGGAGGCTCGCACCCGGCTCCCGGCCCGGCAGAAAGGGCTTCGACTCAGACTCCGGGGCCAGGACCCCGAGCCCGCTGGGGTCCAGACCCCACCCCTCCGGAGTCTGCGCAGAGTCCGAGTCGTCGGGGCCCCAGGTCCCAGGCACGTCGCCCACTCCGTAGGCCGCCGACCACAGCCCCGGGGGTTCGTTCTCCTCCGCCGCCACCTCTGCCAGGAAGTCCTCGTCGTCCTCCTCGTGGTCCTCTATGTCGTCGGTCCAGAACCAGGCCCCTGACGGAGACGAGACGACCGCGGGAGAGGTGAGAAGACGCTGTGCCAGCAGCCCCTTACCGGCACGGAGCCCGCATTCAGGATGCCTCCGTCCCTACCCCAGGTAGGAGGAACTCTGCAGACAGGAGGTTTCTCCGTCCCTCCTAGGAAGGCTGGTGTTCCTTCCCTTCTCGAATTTGCCTCACATGGCCTCAACTAATCCCTTTTCCACACCTCCAGCTCCCTCCAGGGCTTGCCACCTCGCGGAAGGACAGGGACACCTACAAAGTAGGTGACGTTGCCTGTGGGCTCCTGTGAGACCACGGGCCAGAAAAATAGATTGAGATGCCTGCTCTGTTTTTTCCAAAGCCCCCTGTCTCCTGGAGAACCCCACCTCCTGGCCTGCTTGGCCCAAGGCAGCCCAGACCCCAGCCCCAGCAACCCCAAGCCGTGGAGGACTTGACTTTGTGAACAACTAAGCTTTGCTCAGCGTCCCTCTGGCTCTGGGTCCCTCTCCCACAGCCTCAGGCTCCCACCCGCAGAGTGGAACCAAGAAAGGCTGCCCTGAGCCAAAGACCTACAGGGGCCTGGAGGCCTCAGCTCTCTGCACTCACCCTAACTATGCTCCAGCTATTCTGTGGGCAGAGACGAGCCTCCCTGAAGCCTGCTTTTTTTTTTTTCTGAGCCATTGTGCACTTGAGAAATGGTCCCAGACTGACTAAGACTGGGTGAGCTACAAACATCTTTCCATCACAGAAGGCTGAGGACCCACCCCAGGACCCTGCAATCCCATTCCTCCTTCACCAAGCAGTTTCCTGACCTCACCCTTCAGTGTGGAGTGCAGACATAGAATCGGTTTATAAACGGGGTGATTCACCTGCTGTCCTGATACACCCAGGAGGGAACTGGTATTTACAGAGCAGGCGCTACGTCACACAAGGAACCTGGCCCGCAGCACCCCGGTATTCAGAGCACCTGTGTGCCACCTGACTCGGGGGCACTCTGCCTGCGTCTGTCCGCCACAGCCACGCACCGTGCAGTCCACTTCAGAATTCCAGCACCTGGAAGGGTCACTCCAGGCTGAGGTGGGGACAGGGTTTCCCCAGTTCCCAGATGCAAGCCTGTTTGGGATCCGAGTGAGGACCCATCAGGTCTACTGGTGAGGCTGGAGCCGGGGCAGAGGAGGTGCTCTGACCAAGGGCTGGGGGCCTTTCTCCACAGGGCTGCCTCTTCCAGAACCCACAGCAGGGAGTGGACAAGTGCACCCTGGGGAAGGGAGGCTGGCACCTCATCTGCCTGACACTTCCACTCCTGAGGACTCTGACACCAGGTGAGGACTAGCTCGGCCGGGGCCATGCTCCAAGCCTGGCAACCCGCCCATACTTACCCCCGAGACACATGGACAAGGGGGAGAACACCCCAACCGCGTGTTCAGAGACTGGCCAATGGAAGCCTGCAGTCCTTCTGTCCCCAGGTGGCATTTCAGAGCTGGACCCCAGAAACAGGGCACACCTCCCGCTAAGACCCTCTGAGAAACATCACCTACATCCCAGTCTCAGCCTGGGGGCAACAGCAGCATTTCTTACCAGCCAGAGGCCCGCCCCCCAATTCTGAAGGCCAGGAGACATTCCCACAGACACCCAGAGAACTCGGGGACCCAGGGCAGGAAGGCCCACAGCACAGTGGAAAGTAAGGCCCGAGGCCTGAGCCCACCATGGGCAAGTGACTGAATCGCTACTTTAAAAGTTGATTTCCTCATCAAGTGAGACCAATCGTCCCTCCCCTGCTATTTCACAGAGCTGTTACAAGAATAAACAGTATACAAGGAAATACTATGAAGAGTACACGTGTAGGCATAGCACCGTTTGTGTCTTCCTGTATTTTATTGAAAACATCTACACGCTGCTCCAGGTACGTGAGTGGCATAAGACATCCGGAGCCCGCACGAGGCGAGCCTCACCCGAGAACAAAGCCAAACACATGCACTGTGCACGGGCCTCCGCTGAACCTCCCGGAACAGCTCACAAACCCCGAGGGGGCACCTCCATAGAACCAACAGTCCAACAGCCTCAGCGCAGGAAACTACAGGTTTCCTTCAAACTCTTTATTCTCCACACGACTAAAAAATGAGGCCCAGAAAGTTGGAGGAACAGAGCCGGGTCTGGGGTCTCAGGAGAAATCCACCACCCTGAACACTGCCCTCCGGAATGCTGGCCCCGGGCCTCCCAGCGAGAGGAGCTGGCCAATCAGGTGGGGAAGCCGCGACAGCTGACCCTCAGGCGCACAAAGACCACCAGAGGCCAGGGCAAGGAGAGAGCATTATTTTTAAAGACTTGTAACAGGAGCCTCGAGGTTCGCTACAGACTCCCCAGGCCTTGGGCCTCTGCAGATGGAACCAAGAGGAGCCAACCCTCAAAGGCAGGGGTGAGCCCCCAGCGCCGTGCGGTCTCTACGGAGCCCCCCAACAGTGCAGACGAGCAACACTGGGCCCCTCTCGGGGGCTGCAGCCTGCCAGAAACTCTGCGAGACTCCGTGTCACGCTCACCTGTGTAGACGCCAGTGACGATGTCTCCCTCCTCGGGACGGGGGCTATCCGGGACCCACGGCTCCTCTCCTTGCTCCAGCCGGAAGATCAGATCCGGCTTGGGGACTGGGTATCCTGGCCCGAAGAGAAGAGGTGGCAGCTGCAGGGCTCTACTCGCACCCCGACCCACAGAGCTCTGCCACCACCGCTCCTGTCCCGTCCCCTCCAGAACCTGCCTCCCCACCTCCCGGCTGGAACTCCCACACCCCCAGCTCCCCGCCAAGCCCCCCTCCACAGGGGGCCCCGCCCCTCTCCTCTGCCTCTGGACTCCTCGACCCTCGAGGCCTCCAAGGGGAGCACAGACACCAGCGCTGGGCCAGCCACTCCCCAGGACGTGGAACCTGGGTCAGGGTGCTGCTGGGCCACAGTGAGCCCCCCACGATACACCCTGGCCAGAAGCCAGGTGGTCCCCAGGGCTTCCCTGGGAGGTGATAGCTGGCACCAGCACCCCCTTCTCCAGGACCCTTGGGCTCCACACACCACCCTCAGACAGCTAAGCCCCAGGCAGCCATCGGGCTAGGATGCCTACTGCGGACGGAGGGCTCCGCTCACCCAAGGACACCAGAATCCCGTAGTTTTCCCGCATGACCTCCTTGTAGAGCTCCCGCTGGTCTGCGTCCAGCCTTTCCCACTCCTCCAGGGAGAAGTACACAGCCACGTCTTCAAAGGTCACCAGCCCCTGGGAAACAAAGTGCCCTGGCCACTGCCCTCCCCTGACTCGGGTAAGAGGCAGGGGTGCACCCCCACAAAGACAGGACAGGAGATCACTTCGGTGGGAACTGGGCTCACCCTGCAATGTGGGGCTCACAAGGATACAGCCCAGCACCCCATCACTGGCAAGCCTGCAGATGCCCGATGGAACTAGGGGCTCCCAGGCCTTGCACAGGCCGGTCTCACTCAGCAACCAGGACCTCAGGCTCAGAGAGGGAGATGGCTCAGCTCAGGTGGGGCAGCATGGGGTCTCACGCCGAAGTCCCAGGACCACGACACCCAGGACCCCTTGGCTGCGCTGCGTGGCCACTCATCCCTCCCGCATCACTGTCTGCCTCAAGCCAGGGGTCACATCAGTGGTGTGAGAGCTCACGCCGGGGTGGGCAACTGGCACCAACAGAGTGTGGGCACTGGCGCCCGATCAGGACAGTGGCCTGGGGAGGGTCAGGCCCAGGACGGCAGAACCATAACCCCTGGGCTTCGGACTAGAGAGGGCCAACTGCTTCCTGCGGCCCTGACCCGGCTCACAGCTGGGGCTCGGCCTGGGAACCACAGGGCTGCTGCCCTGCCAGCAGGGGATTTCCGAAACAGCAGGTGCGGATCCCACCCCGCCCCTCCGAGGAACCCCTGCCTGGTTAACTGAGCCCCAAACCAGGGGGCAGCTCACCTGAGACGCAGACGTCAGGGAGTCGTCCGCGTCCTCCTCCTCCTCCTCCTCCTCCTCTTCGTCCCCCTCCGGCTCCAGGTCCTCATCCCTCAGCGTGGCTGGAGCCCGGGAGGCCTGCAGGGCTGAGCAGAGAGACTCTTGAGGGCGGGGCTTTAGCCTGGGACGGTCACGTGTCCGTCCAGCTACCAGGATGGGCTGCTCCCGGCCACGCCCCCTTTTTAAATGCAGGGCGCTGACCCGCAGCCCCAGCTCCGCCCTGTCCAAGAGCTCTTCCCGGCTGCCCCCTGGAGCCCCCAAAACTTCCTCCCCAGGGGTCAGCTCCTTTCTCTTACCCTTTTCCTTAAGGCCTGGCGACTCGGTGTCCCTGCCGCCGCGGGGGCGCTCCTGGGTCCCCAACGCTGGACTCTGCTCTTCTGCCAGCGCCTCTTCCACCGTGCCATCCACCTCCACGTCCATGTCCACCACCACCTCCTCCACCAGCCGCTCCTCCAGCGCCTCCACCTGGTCCTCCTCCAGCACCTCCACCTGGTCCTCCTCCAGCGCCTCCACCTCCTCCCCCTTTCCTTCCTCCTCTTCTTCCTCCTGGTCAGGACCACACTCCGATCCATCCAGCCTCTCCAGCTGGGCGGCCGGCAAGTCTGGAGTCGTGCGCGGGGCTGCCATCGCCTCTGCCACGAGCCTCAGCTTGACCTAAAACACAGACGGTGATGGTGAGGGTGACACGCCGCCCCCGCGAGTCTGCTCCAGGGCCCCACAGCCCTCCTGGTGAGGCGGGGGTTGCTCTGCCCTGAGATGCAGTAACGGGCACCGGGCACCAGGATGGGAGCGCTTTCTATGATCTCAGGGGGCACAGCCTAGATTCTGTCCCCAGAAATGCTGCCAAAGAGCCCCTCACTATGACCCCCATTACTTGGCCTCGGCTCTTTCCTGGGAGCAGGACAGGCCTGCTGTGAACCACCGTGCTTTCTTGGAGTAAATTGGGGATTAATCCTGCATTTTTTATCCTCAAGAACGTGGAAGCATAAAGTCCAGGCAACGTGCTGGAGGGTGGTCCTGCTTGTGTTTAGCTGAAAGGGGTGCATGCAATCGCCTCTCGGCCTTTTGGCTAAGATTAAGTGAAAGGGGTGCACGGAGCCTGTGAGGAACAGCCCACCCGATATATGAGTGGAGGAGATGCTCACCCAGCTCTAGACGCCCAAACTTGGCAACAGGGAGTATGGGAGCCAAGGTCTGAGCATGCGGGCCAGGGTCATGGGCAGGGAAGGTGAGACCACCCTGCCAGGAGCACCTGCTCTGCCAAGCCAGCAGGTCAGGCCCCTTCTGGAGCAGGCATACAGCACACCCCTCGCCCCTTGTGCCATCCAGGGCAACTGGAAAAAGCTCAGCAGGTCATGGAGATCTGGTTCATCGCTGGACCAGCAAAGGTGAAATGAAACGCCCGGTGACCCTGTTCACGTTTAGGGATCAGAGAAGCCTAAGTGTCGAGTCATCAAACCTCCGGTGACTCACAGCACCTGAAACTCGCGTGGATGTCACAGACGGCTCAGCCAGGCACTCGGGGGGGGACACGGTCACACTGCCTGGGGCACAGAGCCTGGGGCTGTGGACCCAAGACAGACGGGATGCTGAGAGCCCTGGGGCCACTCCTCTCCCACCTGTGTATCCTTCACCAAGCCCAGTGGAGCACTGAGGACAAGACAGAGGCAAGGGCTTTGAGTTCAAAGCGCAGAGGCTAAGGGCCATCAGCCAGCGTGGCTCATCAGCCTCTCAGACCTGAATGGGGTCACTTCCAAAGTGAGCCAAGCCTATTACAAACACAGCAACCCCAGGATCCTGGGGAGAGAGTGGGAACCCCGGAGGATCAGGGGACACCAGGGCCCACCCCAGCTCAGCCAGCTCTACCAGCACACGGCGTCTGCCGCAGAACCCCTAAACCAGGACAGGGCCCCCACAGAAAGGTGCCCCCCAGTCATGAGAACAGTCCAGACCACCGCGCACCCCCTAGGAGAAGTGCTCAGTGATTAGCTCTTACCACAACTCATCACGTTTCTGTTAATAAGGCAGCATGCGCCCATTTTTCTCAAGTGCTCTGAGCTGCTGCTTTAAAATCCACACTGTAATTGGGAGGGAACTCTGAGCATTCGCACAGCTCCTCCCAGAGATCAGGACCCAAGTCCAGGGGCACATGGGCGCCCAGAAGCCACCTTTGTCCTGACTCACGCTGATCCCATTCTAGATCCCATATCACTGGACCAGACGTGCCAGTCGTGGGAAGTACACCCAGGAGGGCCACCCTCCACCCTAGTTGCTCCCAGAGCCCGTGTCCTCGGTCTCCCTGGCTCTCTGGCCGCGTGAAGGTGCCTGAGCTGTAGAAACACGTGTGCCATGTCACCTTGGCCACCTGCAGGAGGACGGAGCCCTGCCCAGCACCTGGGCTGTCAGAAATGCTCGGCAGAGGTTTCCCAATCGCCACCCACCTCAGGCCCAGAGGGAGGCTCTTCCCATCCAGGCCTCAGGCTGCAAATTCAGGCTGAGCCCAGATGCCAGGCCAAGCCCAGCAGAGGCCCTCCTGCCTAGCTCTCTCCCACAGCAGGTGCCCCCAGGCCGGGCCTGCACCTGAGGACTCGTGGCTTTGGAATAAAGTGACCCCATGCTCATTCCACCTCGGGACCTTTGCACATGCCACTCCTGCTCCCTGGCACTCTCCTTCCCTCTTCACTGGGCCTTTGGAGGCAGCTCCCCTGGGCCCCTATGACATGCACAGCTCCCGGGACTCTGCTCTCGGCACCTACATTTTAATACACTTATTGAATTGTCTGCTTATTGCTTGTCTCCCCAAGAATACAGTCAACTCCAGGCAGGCAGAAGTTCCCTCTGTTCTTCTCTCAAATCTCTTCTGTGCCAGACACAGAGTGAACACTCAGATATTTACCAAAGGAATGATTCTAAAGTCTGCGGTCAATGCAATGAATGTAAGCTTTTTAAGACTCAGTATTCGGCTCCACTATCACGTTCTGGAACAGACTCACTGCTGCTGAGGGTCCTTCACTCTGGAGCCCACTGGTGGTGCATCTAAGGAGATCAGGCCCTAAGGGCTCCTCTCCTAAGAGGTGCACCTGCTGGTGACCAGGGAGGGAAAGACCCGGATGCCATGGAGATGGGCAGTCACCCTGCCGACGGCCCAGCCAGACATCCCTCCATCCTGACCCAGCATCTGGAACAGAATGCTGGTTCTGAAACAGGACAGGTTCTGAAAAACGGAGTAACTAAGTCACAGGTGCCAGGTTCCTGCTGCCTCCCCAGGCCAGGTATGTGCTGCACACTCTCCTCTCTCCTCTTTCCAGCCTGCCAGACCACCAGACACTCACCTCCTGGCATCCTGCTCAGGTAAGGCAGGTAAGCAACCTGATCAACATAACCGCACAGGTCATCCCAGACCATTACTGCCTGGGGGGGTGGGGCGGGGCTGCACCCTAGGGTACCATGCTGCAGAATTTAGAACAGGGTGGTGGGGAGAGGGTGACAAGATGCCTGCCCCGCAGACAGCAAGTGGCAAACTTGGGAAACTTTCAGCAACTCTCCACTGAGATCCCACATCCAGGGAGCCCACAGGGAGCAGTAGGAGGAATGGGTGGGCACAGGGGCAGCTGGGCCCCTTCCTACTCTCTGGTGGCCTCATTGGCCACACCCGCCATTCAAGGCCTTCCAGGCTTCCATCTTCCTTGACTACCAGGATCCTCACTGCTTGTCCACGATTTGGGCCCCTCTACCCTTCTGGTGTGCCCCTGGTGCAGGTGTATCTGCGGGGCCATGCCCGCTGCCCAAAGGCAGCCCCTCACCTGGCAGCCAGCTCCCCAGACCTGCTGACACTTGTTGAACCAAACCCAGCACCAACCTCTCCCCTACACAGGCACAGCAGGCCCTGACCCTGCACACCTCCCCTCTCCCCTGCCCACGGGGTCCTCCTCCAAAGGCCAGCCCCTCTCCCATCTCTGCGACCACATGGGGCAGCCCAGACCCCATATGGCCCCAGGAAGGACCCCATACGATCCTAGGAGTGAGTTCTGCAACCTGCCTCCTAGCCGTACAAGACTCGGCCAAGCTGCCCACCGGAGCCTCCATTTGCAGAAGGAAGACCCAGACAAGGCCCCCAAGGTCACTAAGCAGGCTCGCGGTGGGCGCTGAGCCCAGCCATCCTACCCCTCCAGGGGGCTGATCAGGCCCCCACCTCCCGCGGAAGTAGGGGCCAGGCCGTGACAGCCCCTCCTGGATGGGTGTGTCCCGGGGGCGGCCGCGGCCCAACCCCCGCCCCTCCGGCCTAGACCGTGGCAGGCACCTCCCAGAAGTCGAGCGCGTGTGTCCGCTGCCCGCCTACTCCGCGCTGCCCACCCGGACAGACCCCGGGGGTCGGAGCCCGCCCCCATCGCGCAGGCCGGGGCGGGGGTCCACCGGCTGCACTGAGCGTGGGCGCGGCCGCCCAAGGCCGGGCCAGCGGGCCGCTCCGGGCCCCCCTACCCCAGGACCAGGCCGGGTTCTCCCCGCCGCGCGCCGCGATCTGCCCGCGGCCTCGCGCGCCGGCGTCCAGGAGCGGCGCGACCCCGACCCCACGCCCGCGCCCGGCCCGCCCGCACCTGCCGCCCGCGCGCGCCGCCCGCCGGCCCCGCCGCGCACTCACCGCGCCGCCCGCTCACCGCGCGCGCCAGCCGCCGAGCCGCCGCCGGACACCGGGGCCGGACCGGGGCCTGCGCGCCCCGCGCTACACAAAGTGACGGCCCCGGAGCTGCGCGGCGGCGGCGCGTGGGCACCGGAAGTGCCGCCGCCGGGCTCCGCCCCGCCAGTGCCCACGGGGGGGCACTTCCGGTCACGCGGGGTCCAGCGCGGCCTCAAAGGGTCGTGCGTGGGGGGAGAGGACGCGCCCCTTGCTCGAGGGCGCCCTCGGCCCTGGTTCCGCGCGCTCGTGGGCACCGCGACCCCGGCCTTGGGCACCGCGGCGCCCCGCCCCCGCGCCTTCCCAGGACCCAACCCCACCTCGGGGGACCCCCCCGCCCCGCCCTGGCTCTGGAGACTCCCGCGGGGTCCCGGGCCGGACCGCGGCTCCCCAGAACCCGCGCAGCCTCATTCAACCGCGATTCCAGGAGCTCTGCTGAGCGCCAGAGCCGGTTGGCTCCATCCCAGGCCCCGCGATGGTGGAGGGAGGCGGTGACCCCTATGAGTGGCCTCGGGGAGGCTTCTTGCAGCCCCGCGTGCCCTCAGATCCGGACGGGGCAGGGCCGATCCCTGCCGGGCAGGGGCCCCAGGACAAGAGCAGGTGGGCCGGACGCCCACGGCTGGTGCGGGGCCAACGCTGGGTAAACGGTGGGGGGTGGGGGTGTTCCCAGAATGGAGGAGGACGCGGACCGAGGTGGCCAGCCATTGGGCCCGGGTCGCTGGATGAATGCAATAAGCCCTCAGATCTGGAAGCTTTCCATGTGACCAGGAGGAGGGCCCGCTTCTGGGAAGTGTTCCCCCAGCAGAGGGAGGCAGGAGGGGAAGACTGCCGCCCAGGAGGTGTGAGAAGGTGAGGTGAGAGACTCAGGGGATGCCCACAGCCCTCCCCAAAACTTACCTGCCCCCCCCCCTCC